CTTAGGTCAAATTATTTATAATATTCTTACATTTATAAATGTAGAAATTTTAGTTTTAATACACAGCAATTTAGAAAATTAATTTTTAAAACAGTGAATATGATAAAAAAGGGAAAATTTATATACAGTTTTTTGTTATGAGAAATAAGTGGACACAAAGTATAAATCTGCGTGATTTAATATTATTAATATTATTTTATATTATAATTAAATATTCTTATTTAAAAAAAATTTATTCAGCGATTATACTCACATCAGACACCGCGCCGTCATCGTCGTCGACATAATTGCTGTCATATTTTATATTTTATATTTTTATTATGACGTAACATTACAAAGTATATATATATATATATATATATATATATATATATTTATATTTATATAAATTATTTCGTTACGTATACATTAATATATAACTCAATCGACACAATTTATAACTGCTATAATTTAGAAATAATACTTTATATAACACATATTTCGTAATATTTATATCACAGTTAATTGTATTTATTGGTTCCTTTTACGTAACATAAATGTACAAATACTACATATTATTTATATAACAAGTATTATATGAGGCTTCAATATATAGAATTTAATCAATAGAAGTAAGGGAAGATATCTTAAAAATATTTAAAATAACTTTTAATCATTATAAATATTAACTGATTCATATTATCCTGTTTTTTTTACTAAACTAATTATAATATATTATATAAAATTTTATTAAGATAAGAAAGAATGTGTTTATTCAAATATTTTATGCATATAAATTTATTCAATGTATATATACGATGATATGGTGTTTTATAATATCATTATAATGTTTTAATTAACTGATTAATATACACACACGAATTACTTACCTGTTCCTCATATTTGTGTTTACAATGATAATAATAAACGTTGAAATCAGAAAAACTTAGATAATATTTTATTAATGTTCTATTTATAATAAATTATATTTTTAGCTATATTATAATATAAAATAAAATATGTGTATATATATATCATCTCTCACATTAAAATTTTATACAAAACTTTTAATTTAGTTGCTAATGAAATTGAGAGATATTTATATTAATTTAAAGCAAAATAAAAAATTAGAATAAAAATAATTAATTATAAAAAAAGATAAAATAAAAAAAATTTAAATAATCATTAAAAAAATAAAAAGAAGTATAGGAACTTGAAAAAGATAAAAAAGTTTAACTGATACTTATCGTACAATGTGTACATTATGCATTATGTAAAAACGTAATATAACATTTTTTTTTTTAACGATTAATAAATGATTAATAATAGATTGTTGCAAAAGATAACGCAAACATCGTTCAATTATTGCTCAGTTCATTAATCAAAATTAAATATTTTTCAACAAGTTGACGCGTATTGTCTGACATTACGGAGTATTACTACTGAAGATGTGCTAATAAATTCTGTATTTACGATAATGTTTCTCAATTTAATAAAGATGAAAACAAGATTTAGAGTAAAGTAAAAAAAATTTGAAATATAAAACAAAAACCTACATATAAATTTAAATAACATTGCATAATTATTATAACATTATTGAATAACAGTGTCTTTAAAAATATAAAGTACAAATTAAATTATAAATTCGCTTATAAAGATCTGCAAATTAAAAGGAGCGTGAAAAGAGATTTAAAAATGTTTGAATAAATATGAGTATCTATAGTATTAAAAAATGTTTATTTATATATACTGTAATTTATTGATGTATGTTAGGGGAAACCGGGGCTCGTTGGCACAAGAGGCAAGTTGGCACTGCGTTCCATTTATGTATTTATGATTAAAGAAACAATGAAAAAGTTACAGTAAAATATCTCTTTTATAACATAGGCTTATGTCTCTAAGTTGCATTTAAATCAA